ACTTCCTTGTCTACAGCTCATCCTAGAAGTCACTTCTCACAGATGTCTACAGAACCCATGTCTGCATCTCCCTTGATTCTTTGCTCAAATATCACCTTTCTAGAAACCCTTTCTAATCATATTATTTCAAATTGGAAATTACCCAAACACTTCAGGTGTCCCTCTATGATTTTGTGTTCTGTGCAGCACCTAACAATCATACGATGTACTGTATATTTTACTTACCTTGTTTATTTTACCCATGTTAGGCTCATATTGAAGAGATTTTATGTTTTCTTCACTGCTATATTCCCAGTACTAAATATAAATGTCTTCTTTTTTACTCTAATACTTTATCAGGCACAGCACAGTTTATACCTGACCCCAAGCTCATGGATCACGGTCAGTCTCATCCAGAAGATAAAGATATGTACAGCACTAGAAGCTGAAATCGACTGCAGTGGGAGCCTGCGTAGAGAACCACAAGATGTACCAAGTGACAGACAAAGGTTAAAAATCATGTGATGAGTGGGTAACTGACAGCATGACTAGAAATTGTCCCATGACATTTTAAAATAAACAGTTTGGCCAATGCTGGAAGTAGTTAAAACTCAAAATAATGAATACAGCACAAGTAATGTTAAGAGATTGATGAGGCAACTGAAGTAGAAGTACTAGGAGTATATTTCATGACTTGTAAGAGAATTTATTAGAAAGCAAAATAAAGTGAAGATATAAATGTCAGTAAGACTAAAACCTGAAAATATGCATATGTAAATATACATATACATGTATATACATATGAATCTGCTTCAGTTTTCCCAATTATTACCAGTTAACTTAGAATGGTGGATAGAAGGATGTGGGTTTTTTTTCCCAGAGCTGGAATAAAATATCCATATTTTATGACACATGAACTTGGGTTTATGTCTTTGTTTTATTTAGTTTAACTACTCTTAAATGCCTGAAAACATCTGTTTAAAAGGACCGGACCATATACTACATTATCCTAATACTGCTTAGCAATTTTGCTACTGCTTCCTAGGTATTGTGCTTTTCTGTTTCATTCCTCTCAGGCCTCTTAAACCCATCAAAGTTATCTGTTTTCTATTTCATAGAGCAGAAATGTATAATCCTTAGATCCGACCATTCACAACCAGCCATCTAACTTCCAGAGTTACTCTTTGTACTCATTCTTCGCACCCTTTCCTAAGACTAGTGCTTCTTCTCAGATTTCTGATTTTCCATTTTTACAGGACTATATTTCATCCTGTTTAACCTTCAGTCTTTGGTTTCTCTTTTCACTCAGTTCTGTCCCTCAACTGGTAAATACATTTAGTTTTTTTTTTTTTTTTTTTAAAGGAAATCCAAAAGCACAGTAAAAAAAAAAAAAAAGACAAAACATAACTCAGCCTCTTCTGTCAAACTGTCTTTTCTCTTGAGTTTCTTTCTATAATTTCCTGTATACATCTTTTAAAAGCTATTAATGTGCAAATGAAGGGGAGCACATTGATTATCAATATTGTTTTAATGAGCATTACAACCATGAGGTGTTAGTTATTTAGGAGACTGGCAAGTATTGTTTGATTCTTAAGGATGCTTCAAAGCTCAGTCACTCCTAACACACTGCCTGGAGTACTTTACCATAGGCCCTCCCTTTCTTACTGTATCGGCATCTGACATATTGATGAGCTCAGACCTTGTTTTCTACTTTTCTGTCAATTAAGTTTCATAATAAGTAAACACAAAGCTGGAGAGATGGCCTGGCAAGTCAAAGTGTTTTCCCTGAAGCCTGATGACCTGAGTTAGAGCCCCCTCAAACCCACATGGTGCAATGAGCAATGAGAGAACTGAATCTTACAGATTATCCTGTGACCTGCACACAAAAGGCAGTGACATGCTCGTGTGCACATGATAAATACTTTTTTCCTTTTGGTTTTTTGAGACAGGATTTTACTGTGTAACAGCCTTGGCTGTCTTGGAACTAGCTCTGTAGACTAGGCTGGCCTCAGACTCACAAACATTCGCCTGCCTCTGCCTCCCAAGTACTGGTATTAAAGGTGTATGCCTAACCACTGCCCAGCCAAATAAGTGTTTTTAAGTAAACATAGTCCTTTACTATTTTTTGTTTGTTTATTTGCTTTGTTTTTTATTATTTTTGAGACAAGGTTTCTCTATATAACAGCTTTGGCTGTCCTGGAAATTGCTTTGTAGACCAGGCTGGCCTCGAACTCACAGAGATCCACCTGCCTCTGCCTCCCAAGTGCAGGGATTACAGGAGTGTATCACCACTACCCAGCCCCTCATTATTAGTTTTTCTACCATGGCTTCTACAACATCTCTAAAGAAAGCAGAATACAAATATAAAAATTATAAATGAAGGAAAATTGCTCAGTGAAAACTAGATTTTTTTTAAGGCAAATAGTAAGGCATTCTGTATAATTTGAAGGGAATTTGTGTGAGCTTTCAAAGACTATAATTTGAAAAGGCCTTATATTCAAAACCATCCTGCAAAATTGGATACATATCAAGGATTGTATATTAAGGACAAAACAGCCAAGCGGTGGTGGCACACGCCTTTAATCCCAGCACGCGGGAGGCAGAGGCAGGCGGATCTCTGTGAGTTTGAGACCAGCCTGGTCTACAGAGTGAGTTCCAGGACAGGCTCCAATACTACACAGAGAAACCCTGTCTCGAAAAACCAAAAAAAAAAAAAAGACAAAATAGCAGAACTGAAAAATTGTCTTTTCAACAAATTTAGGTTTTAAGTTATAACTCCTATGAATTATATTGTTATATTGCAATAGCTAGTTCTTTGACAGCTTATCTAATAGCAAAATGAAAACCATTTGCTTATAGTGAGTTTCGTAAACAATGTGTAGAGAGTATGACAAATACAACACCCTCAGAAACAGGGAGAGAGTTCTACAATAAATGTGTCTCATGAGAGCAGTCAGGCAAATTTAACAAATGGTAAAGTCTGTTGAGAGAAGTTTGGCAGTATAACCACTGATCTTCAGTTTTATGCTTTAGGGATGGATGATAGCACTGATAATACAAATATGGTTGAAGTTGATATTTTAATGATGGTATTGATGACAAATAGAATGTCACTGAGGAACTGACTTCTTTAATGACATTAAAGAGTGAAGCCAAATCAAGAGATTTATATGAAGCAGTAGTACATATGTTAAAAGAATTTTTCCTTATCCATTGTCAGCATATCTAGTATAGTTACTGACAGTGTCCCAGCAGTGGGAGATAAAAGAGAGGAATTTATAAAGTTAAGATAATGAAATTGCTTCCTCAAATTCATATCTAATGAAGTGTCTTTGCATAGCACACCAACAAATTTTGTGTGAAGAACCATTGAAATGGGGCCAAGAGATGGTCTAGTGGGTCAAAGGCTTGTTGTGAAAGCATGGAGAACTGAGTCTGAATCTTTAGAAACCAAGGAATACCAAGTGCAGTAGTGTACCTCTGTAATCTCTGTGTTGCTACATTCTTACTACAAGAGGGGATGCTGTAACACGAATCTTCAAAGATCTTATAATAAAAAACCCAGAGCCAGATATTGGTGTGAAAATTGTAAGGTCAGAGAAGCAGAACAACCAGCCACTAGATTACCTCTGCAAAATCCTCAGCCTCAAGAGAGAGTTCCTGTTTCATCATGCCTTATATAGTTTTCTGTGTCCTGCCATATTACTTCCTGGGATTAAAGGCATGTGTCACCACTGCCTGGTTCTGTTTCTCTCACGTAGCCCAGTGTGGCCTCGAACTCACAGAGATCTGAATGGATCTCTGCCTCTCAAGTGATAGGATTAAAGGTGTGTGTCACCATTGCCTGACCTCTATGTCTAATCTAGTGACTGGCTCTGTCCTCTGATCCCCAGGTAAGCTTTATTGGATACACAGTATATCACCACAGGATGTGGAGATATGAGGACCCCAGAAGTTTGTGGCATAGCTAGCCTGATGTATGCAATAGAGAAGAACAGGAAATGTCTCAAACAATTTTTGTTCACTACAAATTTACTTGTAGCATAGATGTGCCCACACTCACACATTAATGTATACACATACATGTACATTCATGAAAGTTTTTAAGTATTAAAAATGTATAGTATCATGTATAAGATCAAGCCAGTCAAAATTCCAGCATAGATAGGAGACCTGCTCCCCCCTATCACCCCTCTATGTTGAGGTCCTACCCCCATCCAAGGAGCTATGATCCACTGATTGCTGCTAATAGAGGGAGCATCACTTTCTCTTGGCGATATGACCCTTGGTAGGTTGTTCATGCCCCATTGGATGGCCTATACCCATTTGCATATAAGCAGCATCAATTAGACTCAGGTATTAATAACAAAAATAATATGATGTGAACTTAGGAGGGAGATTGAGTTAGGAGGGAGAGCATAAAGGAGAGTTGGAGGAAATAGTGGTGGATGGATGTAGTGAGAATACATTGTATAGATGTATGGAACAAGGACAACAACAATAGACATGGCAAACTGGGTAGGGAAAAGCCCAGGAGGCATCAACCCAACCCAAAGAACTACAGGCAATGAAGGATGATGAGAGCAGGAGAAATAATCTTCCTCGGGGAAGAGCACACCAGTAGGTTATCCAATAGCGAAGGGTCAACCTTGAAAACACAAGTTACACTGTACAGACTGAGCAGGTTGTCCTTATGTACTTAGGAATATGTATGTATATGTGTATGTAAGAACAATTAATTTAAAAAGAGGCCATAAATTTGAAAAAGCTCAAGAAGTGGTATATGGGGGAATCTTGAGGGAGTAAAGGGAAGGGGGACTGATATAATTACATTATAGTTTCAAAAAAATTAAAAGCAGAGAAAAGTAAAATCTTAAAAAATGTGTATTTTAATTGTTTAAAGCAATCTTGAAATTCTAATTTCATAATCCCCCCCCTTCCTCCCTGAAAATCCCATATATCATTCCTTGTTCTCTTTCAAGTTATGGCTTCTTTTTTCATTAGTTGTTGTTATGCTTGTATGTGTCTGTGTCTGTGTGTGTGTGTGTGTGTGTGTGTGTGTGTGTGTGTGTGTGTGTGTGTTCCTAAATATATAAATACAACTTGCTCAGTCTGTGCATCACTTTTTTAAATCCTAATTTCATAAGACCCAAAGGATTAAATTATCACCAGTTGAGGGGAATTCCTTTAAAATGTTGATTTTGACATGGTGGTATTATTTACTTTCAGAAATAAGGTGGTTTGAGGCCAAATGTTTAAAAAAAATGATTTGTGAAGCATTATCAGGTCCTTTATGGGATCACATAGAAAATTTGTGCCAGAACTGGATGATGAAAACTAGTTTACAGACTTACCAGTTTCAGGTATTTAACTTACTGAAGTGATATAAATATGTATTTTCAGGGTAAAAATCAACTTATCAGGACAATTTGTCAAATTATAACAGTGTTCCAAATGAAAGTGAAATTATGTCATGTTGTCATGTTGGCTAAACATAATTCCCAGAGCTCCAAAAATTATGTAACCTTGTTTTTTTTAATTTGATACAAGAATGTGAAAAAAGATTTTAAAATTTCTGAAAAATTTGTATATTTGCAACTCCAGTTTTAGTCAACATAATTGTTCCCTGACAATTTTCAAATGGAAAGCATGGAGCTGAAATTTGACACTGAACTTAAAAAGGTCATTTCTCTTTAGTAGATTTATAGGTCCCATTTTGCTAGACTCAGAGTCCTTCACTTTTAGCACCATTCATGCCATTGCTCTTTGGGATCAGCTCCATTTGTGAACAACTATTTCAAGAATGAAGCACACTAAAATAAAATTAGAACCAAGATACTTGATGAGCATCTGAGAACTCACTGAGAATTAGAGCTGCTTTGATACACTAGGTTTTCAAAGACAATGGCAGATACCCAACTAGTTTTATGCTGTCATTTCAATTTTACTTTTATTATCAAAGCTTTAGTTTTTACATAAAAAGGGTAATCAATTCCCCGTCTAGCTTCCTGTCTTTTAACTTTTCTTGAACTTGGACCATTCCGGCTTCTTTACCTACTTGAATTCTTAGATCATTAATCACTGTTCACCATTCCCTCCTTGAAACTTACTTTTCCTTACTCTGAATTTCTTGTTACTCCTCATGTTTCTATTGCTTTAAATCTCTTAAAGACTGAGACTTCCCAGTTTCCATTCTTTGTGATCTTTCCTCATTCTCTTATGCTTTCATTTTTATTCAACCACCTTCTGGCTACAGAAACCATTTGTAAGTTATTATTCATATTATAGTCTCAGTCTTTCTCTAGTATTATAGACCAACCTATATTTCTAATGAATATTTATATTGATTCAACATTTCAAATATATTTCAGTGTCATTGTGTCTAAAACTAAATGTCTACCTTCCTCATTCTAATCCTATCATTTTCTTATTATATTTCATCATCACTCTCCTGAGATCACAATAATGTACTGGCTAATCTGCACACCATCAACCTTCCTCTCTCTTCACAATGTCTTTTGCTTGCATGTGAACCAGGGAAAGAGCTTAAACAAGTAATGTATTTAAAACCAGAAACAAGGTAGCATAGGTATAATACAATGTTTCCTTGGTGACATCAAGACCTAGACTTTCCACACTGGTCTTAGCACATTTCAGAGTCACAAGATGACTGTACTACCAGCAGGGAACATGTTACATATCCAAAGTGGGAAGACATAGGGACAGGTGTACAGTATGCAAAGAGTACACCTGAGTCCTTTTAATCAGAAGATTTCTGTGTATATCTAAACCAGAACCTATATAGCTACAGTATTCACTCAAAGAAGGTAGAAAATGATTTTTTTTCTTGTTGCAAGAAAGGCAACATGTCAAAGATTAGAAATGGATGAGTTTGATTTATGTGTATATTACCTGATTTTATAGCTCATCTTTAATTTTGTGACAGTCATCTTTTGACAACTATTAAGTAGGTGTGTTAATGAAAACTTCAGTAGCACACCATTGCCTATAGAATCAAATCGAAACTTATTACTATTTTATATCTTCTAATCTTCCTTCTTATACACCTTCCTTCAAATGTACATTTATGATATTCCACTTGCTTAATGATCATGTTTGCTCTTTCTGCCTCTTCAATGCCTGTGCTGTTTCCTCTCAGTATGCCCCTTTGTCTTGTTTCACTTTACCTTCTCATGTCCTACCCAATCTTCAAGTATAATTTTACCGTCACCTTTTTCAGTCCTCCAAATAGGATTTGTGAATTCAATACAACCCCTTGTCCTTGGTATTTATAAATATTATAAAATACACAATTTTTTATATAAGTATTTTCTCACAGACAAATATCCTTTGTGGGTATGGCTGGTGTATATTGGGAACTCACCTTTTTATGATGGTACTATATAGTTACATAATTCCAAAATAATTGCAACTCTATAAAGCAACTGTACCAGGAAGGATGGAAACATATACAAATAGCAGTGTTGAATGTGGTATCTTCTCAAAGTACAGCCAAAGAGCTCTAGATGTTTAGGGATGGAATGTAGTTATGGAACAGTAGCAAAGTGGCAATGGTACTGAATGCCCAAGATAAGGAATCACTCATTTTTCACAAGTAAGGTCTTCAGAACTTAGCATCACTGTAGGAAATGAATTTTAAACCTTATACCTACCTATTTCTATTTAAATATACCCATACTTCATCATGTATAAAGCAAATCCTTAAGAAAATGGCATTTGAGCATTGTGCTTACCTTAATTTCAATTAGGTTAAAATGTGAAAATACCACCATTGTACATTTGATGAAATATAGTTACTAAAAACTCTAAGCCCAGTGTGAGTGGTTTTTCAATGATGCAATCAATTAGATTGTTAGAACTTTTACTAGCCATTACTGTTTAGTTTGGATAATGAAGAATTGACTGTATCTTGAAAAATCTGTTTCAAAGTCAAGTATCTACAAGAATATTGTGCTCACTTGCTTTATTTTACAACATTTGATGTCAAAGTGATGTTTTTATGGTGACATTCAAATGTTGAGGCCTATGTTGGGATGAGTTGTTACCAGGCTTTTTTCATGTTTCCTCTGCAAGTTCCAGGAGATCTTCCATGTTAAATCTGAACAAATGCCAGCCTTCCTCACAGGAAAGGTCCATAGCCCCTAGGCGAGTGTAGTACGCAACGGAATCCTGATTCCAAACGACAACAAGGAACTGCATGGCACTGCATTGGGTGTTGATGGCTATCTGTTTAAAAACAAACAAGTAAATATTGTCCTTATTTGACAGTATAGTCATTCACTATTTACTGAAGGTCTCCTATATATAATACTATATGTATATAATAATGCAAAATACTATAGCTATTTTTCGACTAAAAGAATCTTTTATATTATTGCAGGTCATATTGTGGGTCTATTTTATGAATAAAATTACTTTCTACTCTCATGTTTGCTTATTCTTGATAGTAAAAAAACACATATAGTATGTTTGTACAATATATAGGAATAAAATTTAATTAAATATAACATAGAATCTCTCTGAGCTTTCAACTTGAAAATCCACTTTAATAAATATTTGAAATGCATGTTGCAAAAATGTTTTGTGTATGTGAATGCACGTGTTCATATGGGTTTGGGATGCATGTGTGTGCATGCATGTGGTGATCAGAAGGCAACTTCAGTTGTTATCCCTCAGGTGCTTTCCACTTTTTGTTTGAGACAAAGTCTCTAACTGGCCTGAAATTTCACTAAGTAGGTTAGTGTGGTGGCCGGTGAGCACAAGAGATCCAACAGTCTCTACCTGTCACCTTGCCACTACTGGCATAAAAGTATGTACCACTACTCCTGGCTTTTTATGTGGATTCTGGGGATTGGATTCAAATTGTCATGTTTTCAAGGCAAGCACTTTACCAACTGAGCAAGTCCTGGTGTTATATTTAATCAGTAAGATTAGTTACCGAATCTATGCCTTGTTAAACAACACTTGATGAAGAAAAGGATAATATGTAGACTATCAGTACTAACTATAACACATACCTGACTTAGCTTCTTCAGCATAGCAGCCCCAATACCTAGACCTATTAAATAAACATTGTCAAATAAGGCTGTACATTGAAATTTTTCACTTAAGTAGTCTATTTTAATTTTAAATCAATAAAAGATCAAACTCTTTAAGGTTGCCATATATTCTACTATATAATAATAATAATAATAATAATAATATATAATTGCTGTGGGATGGTCTGTATGTCAAATGTGTTGCTGATTGGTCAATAAATAAATCACTGATTGGCCCGTGGCGGGACAAGGAGGAAAATAGAGCTGGGAAGTGGAAGGCTGAGGCGGAGAGACACTACCAGCTGCCATCAGGATAAGGAAGATGTAAAGTACCGGTAAGCCGCAAGCCACGTGGCAAGGTATAGATTAATAGAAATGGATTAATTTAAGCTGTAAGAACAGTTAACAAGAAGCCTGCCACGGCCATACAGTTTGTAACCAACATAAGTCTCTGTGTTTACTTGATCGGGTTTGAGCGGCTTGGGACTGGCGGGTGAGAGAGATTTGTCCTGACTGTGGGCCAGGCAGGAAAACTCTAGCAACATATAATGATATATATATATATATATATATATATATATATATATATATATATATATATATATATATATATATATATCATGTTGAAACCGAACTCATGAACACTTTAAATCATTTTTTATCTTATTGTAGCATGACAACAATGGTAATACAAAAGAGATTAGTTTTATCTTAAAAATTCATGATGAATAAATGAGTCTCTGTCTTTGTGTTCTTTCTTTTTCTTGAGAAAGGGATTCAACATCTATTGTTGGGTGGCCTGGAACTTGAATTCGCAGAGATACACCTGCCTCTGCATCCCAAATACTGGAATAAAAGGTGTTTGTCACCATGGTGGCCTTCACTGTTTTCATAGAACAGGGTATATTTCTTAACTATGCCTATTAAAAACAAACCTAAAATATAAAATTATTTTACAGATAAAAATAGTAGTATTTATCAACACACTCAATAGCTTACTTGAGTGTGTTGATAAATACTATTGAAAGATTTTCTAACTTGTAGTTGAGTCTTCACTGTACTAGGATCCTGATCAGGCTCAAGAATTGGAAATGAGCTATCTGAATAACTTAAAAATCATATGCATAGGAAGGCTTATCTGTAGTCTTTACATTAAAATATAACTTAGAAACTTTTAGATGTTTGCAAATACTATTGATTGTAGTGTTACCTTGGTAACCTTCAATGATGTAAAAATCCTCTAGGTGAAGCAGTTTGCCAATCCATGGGTTGTATGTGTAGTAGTACATGGCAAATCCAATAGTTTTTACTCCTGTGGAGAAGAGAGGGAACAAAAAGGCTAATGCTTTAAATCATAAAAAGGTATATGTCTTCAAATAGAATATGAAAGTGTTTGCTGCTTTAACTATTAAAGCAATAAGTGGTTGTTGGACAAAATATTAGTACATAAATTTAAATTTACAATGTAGAAAGTTTACTTTTCTTATAGCCTTTAAAAGAAAGTATATAGTTTGACACATTCTTCTAATTTTTAATACTTTATAATCAGAGTTACATAACAGTTATTTAAAAGTACACTGGATTTGCATATTGCACTCCTCTGCTTACTACTATTTACACAATGTGTATTTATTAACTGTTAACTCTGATTTCAGATATAAAAAATGTATTATAGATTAAACTGGAGAAGAAACATTTACCTGATTCTGTTTGTTGAGCAGGTACTTCTGCAACCAGGCAGTAGAAAAGTGGATTGTCTCCAAAACCATCCCTGAATAAATCTGAAATATCAATCCACATACAACATGTCAAAGTTTATAAGCAAACAAAGATGTCATGATAGGAAGCAGTAGGAACACATCTTCCTCCCTGCACAGCAGCTATGCTAGTAAAAACCATCTGAAGTGAGTATTTTAACATTCACAACTTTAAAGAGAGTCTGCCTATTATCTGCTGTTCATTTGGACTAAATGTAGCCATGCGTGTGGTGTCAGCTACCTGCCTATGTCCCTTTGAGTTTTCTAGCAGGTGTCTATAGAAGTGACAGCTTGTGTTTCTGGAATAGTTTGTTGAAGCCTGGTTGATCAATAACTGTCTTGTCCTTAATGTGCTGTGCTGATTGTTGAGATGAAGGCTTGGAGACTGATTGTCATTATTCCACCCTCCACCGACTGAAGTGACTTCTGGGAAATTAAATGGATCTACTCCTGCTTTGTGTTTCTATGGGAATTCTCTCTCTCCCCCTCTCTCTTGCTCTCACTTGCTCTCTCTCTTGTTCTCTCACTCTCTTTCACTCTCTCCTCTTCCTATGAGAATAGACACACATGAGAGAGAGAATTTAATAAAATTTCAACATAGTCTGTTAATTTCTGCTACAAAGAACCTACAATAATAAGACACACAGTGTTTAAATAAAATCAACAAAGTGCAAAAGAAGTTATTAGTGAGTTATTAATGAGGGAAATGAAGGACAAAGAAAGGATATAAAAATGGCAGAAGTGACTCTTTTGAGTAGTTAAATATAAAAAGATTACTTCATTAAAATATAATGATGAATGTAACGGATGCTCTTTTTTTTTTTTACATTTTTACCTTTAGTGTGTGTAGTGGGGAGGGTGGTCAGAGGACAACTGGCAAGAGTCAGTTCTTTCCTTCCACCATGTAGGTCCTAGGACTCAAACTCAAGTTATTAGGTCTTTACTCACAGAGCCATCTTCCAGATCCCAGTATAGTTAAAAAAAATTCAATTACATTTTTATATAAGAGACACACTCTGGATTCAAAGACACAACTAGGCTGAAAATGAAATGATGGAAAAAGATAGCATGCAAACATAAATAAAAGAAAGCTTGGGTAGCTATACTATTATAAAATTATAGATTATTGAAGGAGAGAGTGGAATTGTGTAATTATAAAAATATCAAATCACTAAGAAGATAGAGCATTTATAAACGTATATAACAAAAATTACTACCCTGAAATAAAAGAGACAAATGCTGATATAAATGAAGGGAGAAAGACATAGCAATATACTAATAGTATGACTTCAATATTACACTTTCAATAATGTATATAACAACAAGATAGAAAATAAAGTCATAGATTACTGAACAATATTAGAGACCAACTGATCTTAACTTGTATGTTATTTCTTTTCTACTGCTCTATTAAAACACCATGACAAAAGCAACTTATAAAGAAAGCATTTAATTTAGCTTAAAGTTTCAGAGGGTTAGAGTCAATGATAGCAGAACAAAAGCTTGGTGGCAAAAACAGCTGAGAGCTCATATCTTGATCCATAAGCAGGAGGCAGACACAACACAGTGGGAATGGCATGAGTCTTTTGAAACCTCAAGCCTTGCTCCCAGCGGTACAGATCCTCCAACAAGTATATAACTCATAATCCTTCCCAAATAGTTCCACCAACTGGGAAACAAGCATTCAAACATATGAGCCCATAGAGACCATTCAAATTCAATACAACACACACATGTATAAAACAATGTGCATGTCAAGTGTGGAAGGAACTTTCTGCAGGATCGGACATATGTCAGTCTACATGTCAAGGCTTGATAAAATTTAAAAGACTAAAATAATACTAAGTATATTTCCCAATCACAAAGGCATGAAATTAAAAATCAATAGGTAAAAAAATCTCTATATTCAAAAATATATGAAAATTAAACAACACACTTTTAAACAACCAATGAGTGAAGAAGGAAATCAAAAGACTTGGGATGTGAATCAATGATGGAGCACTTTGCTGGCATGTGAGAGACCCTAGGTTCTGTTCCTAGCATGACAATCAGTTAATTGATCAATGCAAATGAATATTATTGCTGCAAATCATTTAAAAATAATCAAGATGCAATTTTGTTGAAACTAGTGGTGTGGTATAGTATAACTGCAAGAACAAGCCACTGCCATGTCTCACCTCAACAACTCCATGAATGTCTGACTGAATGTCTCCAAGTCCTCAGCTGAAAGGGGTCAAAAAAGCTTCAACCAAAAAGGGCTTCTGCTGAAAGGGCTTCGGCTGGAAAGGGCTCCTCAGCCAAAAAGGCTCTCTAGCTAAAAGGCCTCTGGCTGAAAGGCTCTAGTTTCTGTCTCCTCATGCCTTATATACCTTTCTCTGCTCAGCTATTTCACTTCTTCCCTAGTGCTGGGATTAAAGGGGTGTGACTCCCAAGTTCTGGGATTAAAGGTGTGTGCCACTACTGCCTGGCCTCTATGTTTAATCTAGTGGTTTGTTCTGTTCTCTGATCTTCAGGCAAATTTTATTAGGGTAGAACAAAATATCACCACGCACCATGACCAAGGCAACACTTAGAAAACTTCATTTGAGGCTTCTTTATAGTTTCAGAAGTTTAATCCATTATCAGGATGGTAGGGAACATGGTGCTGGCTCAGTAGCTGAGCAGTACATCCTGATCCTCAGGCAGACAGAGACAGAGAGAGAGAGAGAGAGAGAGAGAGAGAGAGAGAGAGAGAGAGAGAGAGAGAGAGAGAGAGGTGGGAATGGAGAGTAAGAAGGAAGAGGGAGGGGAAGAGAGTAGGAGGGAGGAAGGAGGAGAGAGAGACTGGGCTTCTTGGCATGGGCTTTTGAATCCTCAAAGGCCACTCCCTGTGACACACTTCCTCCAGTCCTTCTAACACTTTCAAATATTGCCACTCCCTGGTGACTAAGCATTTAAGTATATGAGTATATGGGTCAGTCTTATCCAAACTACCAAAGTCCCACTTAAAAGTTCAACTACTTTTCTGGTTCAAAGTCCCAGAATCTTGCATATTCTAAACAACAATGAGATCAGGCCTGTTCCAGCAATACCCTAGTCCCTGGTACCAACTTCTGTCTTAGTTACTGTTTTACTGTTGTGAAGAGACACCATGACCAAGTCAACTCTTCTAAAAAGAAAGCATTTAATTGGGGGTTTAGAAGATTAGTCCATGATCATCATGGTGGGAAGCAGACAGGCATGGCACTGGGCACTGGAGCAGTAGCTTTACATTCTGACCCACAGGCAACAGGCAGAGGAGAGAGAGTCACTGGGTCTAGCATGGACTTTTGAAACCTCAAAGCCCATCCCCAGTGACATACCTCCTCCAACAAGACTGCATTTCCTAATCTTAAACAGTCCACAAACTAGGAGCCATTCTCACTCAAAGCACCACATCCACTATCCGTTTTCTTAAATTGATACAGATTCCAAAGAACTCTAAATATCCAAAACAGCTTTAAAATAAAAGAATAAAGTTGGAGGATACACACTGCTTAATTTTGAGATTCACTATAATGTTATAATAATTAAAACAGTATGATACTGGAAAGAGGCCTGACATATAAACCAACCAAACAGAAACAGGACCTTAAAATAAATACTCACAAACCTAATATGGTTAACTAATTTGTTATCAGGGTACCAAAACCATTAATTGAGGAAAAGACTGACTTTCCAATAAATCATCTTGTAAAAATTGTATTTCCATATATAAAATAACAAAGTTGGACCCTTATTTTTTTTATCATATTCAGAATATAGCTTGAAATAGATTGAAGATCGCAGTGTGGATGTAACATTAGAAAACTCTGAGAAGAAAATGCAGGAAATTAGTAAGATATTGTAAGTGGCAATGGTTTCTTAGGTCTACCTGACAACCGAAGCACAGTCAAAGGAAAAGTCAGAGACAAATTGGAAAAGCTAAAGTTCAACAAAATGGCACGCTATAAAAACAGGTAAAAAATCTCCACAGAGAAGGTTCTTAGTAGATTATGTTCATTCTTAAGTATTCAACTTTAAATGACTATCCTTCACTTGATTCTTCTAATGTTAAATAAATGACCCTCTTTATTTGGTCTTTGCCAATCATGGTGTTTCACCATCTTTTAGCCTTCTTATTACTGTGTAAAAAAAGTTCTAATTTATAATAATTTTCTACATTAGCCATTAATATTTCGGTTATCAAATGTAATAAAAATAACTTTTTTTTCAAAGCTCCTACCAACATATTACATGTTAAGTAGCATTTTTGACCAGTCATACCTCCTGTTCTTTGTTTTGAAATGCATTTGCAGTCTACTGCATCTGTATCCATTTCATGCTTTGAGGAAAAATGAAAAATAGTGGAACATTGAAAAGGCTAAGGAATTTGTGTCTTGTATATTTCAATGTTATTAATGGGGTCATGTTTTGTAACAAGGACAGAAGCTTCTGCATACCTAAGTATCTATTCTGTGTGCATGCATTCACACAGTTTTTACCTGCTCTAAAATTACCACAAAACATCTTACCCAGTTCTGTTAATGCCACATTTTCTTGCATGCCTTCATAGGAAGCCATTTCCTGTCAAAGTAGAAAAAACCTTTCAGCTGATGATTTAGTAAATATTATAATCATTGAAATATTTATTTAACATTTATATACACAGGTATAACACAGGTGATGTGTTAAAAAGAAGTCAAACTTGATCACAGTTATCTAGAAATTAAAATCTGAAACAGCAATGCAACACAAATTAGGTAGATAACTAGTTGGTAGCTAGATGATAGGCAGATAGATTTATAGAGAGACAATAGACATATGATAGAATTCATATCTCAGTTATGTGAAGGTTAACTTTCTGGGTTACTAGCTTTGAATTCAGCAGGAGCCTGGAAAGTAAAGGAAAACTTTTTTCTGGGTAGTCACAGTCACAATGTTTATTTATTATGACTTTACAGAAAAATTTGTGACATGTATTTGCCTGGGGTGGCTTTTGCTAGTATAACTTTAGAATTTTAAAATTGTGGCCTTTATTATTAATTTTTTGCCCATCCAAATTCTTTCTTTTGTGATGCTTATTTCATACTTGGAAAGTTATAAAATATTCACTCTTGTTCTCCTTTGTCCATTTCTTTTCTTTATTTTTAGTTGAGGCTATCAATTGTACAAAATGCTGGTTTTTAATCCTCTTCTGTTCTTACTAATTGCTTTGTATATTTTTGCGTGTGTAAACACTGAGGTAGAATGTCACCACCATCATACCTACTCTGTCATCCCAGTGCCATTAATTGAATGACCCCTCTTTTATTCAGTAATTTGAAATATCCCTTAATATCAAATACCACATTCTCACATATACTTTAGAAAACTTTTGGACTCTTCATAAAGTTTCATTGTGCTAGTTCTGATAATTTTATGAAAACCCTTTTTCATTTATTTTTGAGATTATAATGTAACCACATCATTTCTCCCTCCGAACCCTCCCATATACTCCTTGCTCACTTAGCAGTGTCCGAAGGTTACACCCATAAATTCTCACCAAAATAACTGCCTAAACATGAGCTGAACAAGGACAACAATGAAATCTTAATTTTTATGTATCAACTTTCTATTTATAATGTCAAATGCAGTCGTGTCAGTCACATGAAAATACATATGTACTTATACATTAAACATTTAAAACTTTTCTAATATTATTTTGTTATATTCTCTTGTATTCAAACTTTTTATTTACATTATTTTTTATTTACATTATTTTATTTTCCAGGTAATCTAGAGTTAAATTTTATTTTGCATTGACAAAAAGTGTGAAGATATTACATTTCCCCATATTACAGTACAAGAATTCAACAGAATATTTCTTACCCCACAATAAGATCTTACTGATCTATGTAAATGAAATAAATTTAAGTTCTTCAAAATGTGTGCTGGCTCATTTTCTGTCAATTTGGCACAGATTAGAGTCATTTGAGAGGACAGAACCTCAACTGAAACAATGCGTCTATAAAATCAGGCTCTAGGCATTTTAAGCCTGTACATATTTAAGCCATCACATATAAGCCTGTAGAGCATTTTCTCATTTAGTGATCAGTGGGAGAGGAAGCAAACCATTGTGGTGGTACCATCCCTGGGCTGGTGGTCCTGGGTTCTATAAGAAAATAGGCTGAGGAAGCCATGAGGAGCAAGCCAGTAGGCAGCACTCCTCCATGGCCTTTGCATCAGCTCCTGCCTTCAGGTTCATGCCCTGTTTGAGTTCCTGTCCTGACTTCCTTCAGTGATGAACAGCAATGCTGAAGTGTAAGCCAAATAAACCCTTTCCTCCACAGGTTGCCTTTGGTCATGGTGTTTCATCACAGCACTAGAAACATTAAGACAAAATGACTGTTTTTCAAAAAATCCAGACATAAGCATATAGCTTCATTAGTAACATCCTAATCAGTCTCCATATCAATTAGCACTAATTTATAAAGATGTGTTCTTCATATGGTCTTGGTCAGTTAGAATACAGCAGGAAAAGTATCAGTTCAGGAATAACCATATTTTTGCAACATTTTCAATTTTGTGATAACTATACTATATGTATAAGAGCTCTAATAAACATATATTTCACATAAATTCACATTAATAATTTTCACTATTATTTTGGATATTTTGGCAATTTAGATCAAATGATTGCTATTTTGATATCTGCAAAGGAGACCATTTTTTAAAACCTCATTTAGTGTAAATAATTCCAAATTAGTTTATCAGATAAAAATAAAAGTTTCCAATTGGTTGTTTATCTTGTGCAGTAGTTGGTTTCAAGCAAATGCATATACAAAAAATGAAAATTTAAGCTCTACTATAAGGTCTGTTTTGAAAATTATACTTTAACACCAAGCATAGGGATAGACCCCTTTAATCTCAGTACTTGCGAGGCAGAGACAGGTGGATCTCTATGAGTTCAAGGCCAGCCTTGTCTACATAGTAAGTTCCAGGACAGTGAGGGTTACAGTTGTCTCAAAACAAAACACAACGTAACAAAACAGAACAATACAAAAAACACCAAACTGTTAATTTTTAAAACCAGTCTTAAATATTTCTGAACATGACAAAATTTTGTTTAACTTTTCAGTGTTTCACAGAAAATTAAAACCATAGAATTATTACCAGGATTGAAGATTCTGATAGCTATACAATCTAAATTTGGACTGAGGTATAGTTATTTGAAATATGTAATCTTAAGTAATGTGTGCTTTCTTTTAAAGTATCTTTGATTTGAAATACTATAGGTTCATGATTCAGAATGTTAAATTATAGTATATATTGTCAGATTTTTTTATAGTGGAGAGGCATTATTTGTTTTGCTATAGAAAATCAAGAAAAAAAACCCCTAAGTTTGTTCCTTAAGAGGAGAAAAAAAGGTAAGTAGAGGTCTCAAAGAAAAGAAAATCCTGGAACCACAATAAAAGGGCCATTAATTGAAGAAAGCAGTGTTACTCTCTTTGACACTTCAAAAACATTATTCCTAGTATTAGGAATAATGTAACCATCTAATTCTTATGTATTATAATGGTCATGTATATATATATATGAACACATATATCTTAAAACACACTATATTGTGACCAAGGAATTGTGGAGTAAACTCATAGCCTAACTCACAGCAATAACAAGTTGCTTACATCTTAACTGTTTGTTTAGACCCGAACAGATCAAATGTTCAGTGAATATACTAGTCATTTTCAAATTATGTAATAAAAACTCTGGTCGCAGTGTTGATTTTGCTGAATTACTTTTGAGAAACTAGCTGCTTTGCTTCACCTACTTTATTTAATACTGGTATATTATGGATTTATAATATAAATATATGTATACAAACTTTAAAATATTTGAAATCCTGAATAAGTATCGATGGTATGGTGTACATATTTTAATTTTCCAAATTCTTCAAAGTGAAACACGTCCATCTGCCAGATTTCATTCCTTTGAGTACCCTTTGGGTTACATCCTGCTGGTAATGGTGTTTGATTGTAGAAGGAACAAGTAGGACATTTCTTTACTATTTCTTTGGCTTGTTGCCAGGTTATGGAAAAATCCTTTTTTAAACCTTTACTATTGACAAGGTGTTTTTTATGAAATTCTGAGGCCTCCAGCACATTTCCTATCAATAACTTATCAATCTCATCATTGCCTTGTGCTAGAGGGCCTGGCAGACCAGTATGGGATTGAATGTGAGTTATATATAAAGGATGACTCCTTTTCCTGATTGTATCTTGTAATTGAATAAATAGTGAAGTTAATTCTGAAGCATCAGGGATAAATTCTGCAGTCTCAATATGTAATACTACTCTTTCAGCATACTGAGAGTCAGTTACTATGTTGAGAGGTTCTGAAAAATCCATTAATACCAACAGAATAGCATACAATTCTGATTTTTGAACTGAATTATAAGGACTTTGAACCACTTTACTTAAATTTTCTGATTTGTAACCTGCCTTTCCTTGTTTGTTGGCATCTGTATAAAATGTACGAACTAAAAAAAAGGGGGATAGTTTAGATATGATAGGATAAAAGGGTAGATTAATGAACCTACTTTAAAGAGTAACAACTTGTTTAAAATGTTTTACATTGCTATAGATTTTAGTTTATTGATACAAATTTAAACTTAATTTTGTTATACTGTATATATATTTCTATTCTTATGTGAGGTATTATGTTTATGTAACTCATTAAAAATTGTAATGGATAATTAAAAAATAGATTAATAATTAGTCATCTATGATAATCATATTTGTAGCCATGTTAGTTAAGTCTTCTAGGTATACATAGATATATTTCAGATAGATAGGTAGTCTTCAAACACTTCAAAGACCTACAGAATATGGCATTTAAAATGTTTTAAAAATTTAGACTTTCTGGACAGTGAGACATGTCTGCTCCTGACAGCACCAATTTACTTCAGAGAAGAGTATGGGCATCAAAGACACTCCATATGGAGTTTATCTTCACCTTGACAAAAATAGCCATTTGGACAAGAAACTGTTCTTGCCTGGACTTCTTGATCAACTTGACATACAGGACCCATAGAAAGGTAACCAATAAACTTTGCTTAACAAAATGGTCCATCAGGTTCCTGATTTACAGAGAAAACTGCAAGACATTCTACAGGACACAAAAAAAAAGTGAATGAGAGACTCTAGGCCTGAGGGCTGAAGACTGATGCCCCAACTTTACAAGAGAACTTTGAATGACTGTCCAGGCTGTCAGCTGTCTCTGTCTACCCTACAAGACTCCCGAAAGTTGTTTGCATCCTTCTCCCATTTCTCAGGTAGTATTATATCCTTCTGAGGTCTTTGATGTGGTTAAAGATACTTACAATTTTCCTTAGTTATGATAAAAGATAAGTTAGATATAAAACTTTAAACTCACAAATATAAGATAGATATCTTCTTTTATATTGTAACTATAATTCTTACTCGATAATTATTTTGTTATATGTAATATTACTATGTTGAAGTTAAAACCTTCCTTTTTGAAAAAGAAAAAAAGGGGAAGTGCTGTGGATATCGCTCTATATAAATAAAGCACTGATTGGCCAATGACCAGGCAAGAAGTATAGGCGGGACAAGGAGAGAGGAGAATTGAAGAAGGAGGAAGGAAAGAGAGACCGGCTGGAGCCACCGCCAAGACAAGGAAGATGTAAAGTACCGGTAAGCCACGAGCCATGTGGCAAAGTAAAGATTAATAGAAATGGGCTGAATATAACAGTGAGAGCTAGACAATGATAGGCCTGAGCTAATGGCCAAGCAGTTTAAATAATGTAAGAGTCTGTGTGTTTATTTTATAAGTGGGCTCCGGGACTGGCAGGACTTGGCGGTGGGAGCTGGAGAAAAATTCTCCAGCTACATAGTCTGGTATGTATCTGCAAAACATTTTAACACCAAAAACATTAGAAGTTTTAAGATTAAGCAGAGAAAAAGGTTATACTCTGCTATAATGATGCTAGTGTATAGCTACACAAGGCGTCATAATGATGTCTATTAGCTAAGGAATTTTGATGGAAAACTAATAAATTCTTTAGCAAAGAGTGTTTTTCTAAATTTGAAAATGATCAAGTATTGGGAAAATAGAAATATGTTAAAGAACATAAATCTCAAAGAGAACTCCTAAATACACATCTGTATCACATGAATGACTGCCGTCAGTACAGGAAAATTCGATCATGGTAACTATAGTTATTACATTGTCACCTTTACTGTACTGGTATGGTTTCTAGGAAAGGCATTAAAATAAATGTGTGTGTAAGAAAACTTTCACTCAGTTGGTTAGACTCATGGGATGTATCTGTGAACAGACCTCTGGATATGCTTTACCAATGGAGCTATATTCCCTAGTCCACATCTCATATATATATTACAACAATTTCTTGGTGTAGTAATTGCTATAATCTTGTTTTATATGGAAAATGAAGATTAGAAAGGGTTAGTGATTTCCAAAACACTGTGTATATGAATCATAATTAATAGACCTAGGTTCAAAGCTAGACTATGTATTTCTTTTGTTCTTTCAGCCCTGAAATAATTTCTAAGGAATAAGGAAATACAGGCTTACTTTTATCAATTGCAGGATATCTGGGCAGTCCTGAGGCTCAGCAGGTCTTATGTAGAAAGGAACAGTACTTGTTTTTCTCGTGGGTAATTGAATAATTCCTTGTTGATTTGTATCAAAATCACTCATGCTTGATTCACTTGGCTCTAATTGACTTTTACCTGGTTGACTTGTGCCTGCTTGACTTAAGTCTGATTGGCTGGTGATGTCTGATGGGCTGGCTTTCATCTCTGGTTGACTTGGACTTGTCATTGATGTATCTGATTGTGTCATTTCTCCGTGGCTTAGTTGGGTGGTGTCTATTTGGTTTGTATCTAATGGGTTAGTTCCTGGTTGGGTGGTTTCTGGCTGGCTTGTAGCTAATCGGTTTGTGCCTAATTGAATGGTTTCTGGTTGACTTGTCTCTGATTGTTTCAGGCCTTCTTGGCATGTACCCTGTTGACTGGTACTTGTCTTGGATTGCCTTGGCATTGGTTCCCAAACATTTGATTGTCTCATGTCTGGGTTGCTGGGATCTAATTGCCATTTTTCTGATTGTCTTGTTCCTGAGCAACTGGGGCTTGGCTTCCATGTGTATAATTGTCTTACACCAGGGATTCTGGGACTTTGTTGCCATGTATCCAATTGTTTCATGCCTGGGTGGTTTGGGCATGTTTGCCATGCATCTGATTGTCTTGTGCCTAGGCTGGGGCTTGGTTGCCATAAATCTGAGTGTCTCATGCCTGAGTGGCTTGGGCCCCATGGGCATGAGTCTGAATATCTCATGCCCAATTGGCTTGGGCCTGGTTGCCATGAATCCAATTGTCTCATACCTAGGGGGCTGGGGCCTATTTGCCATTTTTCTGATTCTATCCTGCCTGGGTAGTTGGGACCCCTTTGCCATGAATCCAACTGTTTAATGCCTGGTTGGATGGTGCTGGATTGCTGTGTGTTCAACTCTATCCTGCCTGGTTGACTGGTGCCTGGTTGCCATCTGTCTAGCTCTTTCATGCCTGATTGGCTGGGGCCTGATTGACATCTGTCATATTTTGTCATGCTTGATTGGCTGGGGCTTGATTGCTCTGTGTCTAAATCTTTCATGCCTGATAGACTGGGGCCAAGTTGCTTTGTGTCTGATTGTGTCATAGCTGGTGGTCTAGGGCCTAGTTGGCATGTGTTGGACAGCCTTATGCCTAGTTGGTTGAGGCTCAGTTGCGAGGTGTCTGACAATTTCTTGCCTAATAGGCTGGGGTCTGGTTGCCATGTGCCTGACTGTTTCTTGCCTAGTAGGCTGGGGTCTGGTTGCCATGTGCCTGACTGTTTCATGCCTAGTAGGCTGGGGTCTGGTTGCCATGTGCCTAATTGCCTCATGCTTTGTGGGCAGAGGCCTGGTTGCCATGTGTTCAACTGTTTCATGCCTTGTTGGTTAAGGTCCAATTGTTGTATGTCATTTTGTCTCATACATGGTTGTCTGGGGCCTGGTTGCCCTGAGCTTGGTACTCTCAGTCTCATACCTGGTTGAATAGGGTCTGGTGGCAATATGTCAGATTGTTTCATACCTGGTTCAGTGGGATCTGGTTGTCTGAAGTTTAATTGTCTGATGGCTGAAAAATCTATGTGTGCTTGCCATGAATTTGAATATTTTTTGTTTAAGTGGCTTGGGCTCCATTGACCTGCATCTGTTTGTCTGAAGCTTGCAGAGCTTGGCCCCCATTGCAGTGATTCTCTTTGTTTCATTCCTGGATAACTTGGATTGGATTTCCATGTATCTGGTTGTCTCTGTCCTGCATAGCTTGGACCTGGTTGCACTGTGTCTGATTGTCTCATTCCCTGATTGCTTTGGTCTATTTGCCACATGTCTGGTGGTCTCCTACCTGGATACCCTGGACCCCATTGCCATGAGTTCATTTGCTTCATGTTGGGAGGAGGTGGGCCTGGCTGCCGTATGCTTGTTTGGCTCATGCCTGCTTGATTCATGTCTGGTTGGCTTTTGCCTAGGTTTTTTATATCCAGTTGGCTTGGATCTGGCTGCCTCATACCTTGTTGGCTCATGTCTGGTTTGCTCTTGACTGGCTGGTCCATGCTTGGCTCTGGTTGTTTCATATTGGGTTGGCTTGGGCCTGGTTGGTTCATATCTGTTTGGCTTGCACCTGATCTTGTCACACCTGGTTTGTTCATGCCTTGTTGGCTCATGCTTGGCTGGTTGATGTTTGGTTGGCTGGGCCCTGGTTGGTTCATATTGTATGGGCTTCTGCCTGCTGGGCTCATAACTGTTTGATTCATGTCTGTTTTGCCTGGGCCTGATTGTCTTATGTCTGGGTAGTTCATATCTGGTTCACTTGCACCTGGTTGTGTTACATTTGGTTGGTTCAAGCCTGGTTGTTTTATGCCTGGTTGGTCCATGACTTGTTTGGCAGATGATGGGTTGGTGACCAACTGACTGGCTTGTAAGAGTCTTGATAGACAGGATCTTTGGACAACAATGCTGTGGTGAAAAGTTGTCAGCTGTTTCCAGTTTGTCTAAACTCACGCTTGGAGATAGTTCTTTTTCATGATGGGAATAGGAAACAGAGGTGACTACCTGAGGAGGGTGATTGAAGCCTCTGATTTGCTGGAGTTGGCTTCACTAGAGACCACAACCCCAAGCTTGATTGGATTTCAGCCTGCCATCTGGTCTTTTCCTGCCAACAGGCCTGAAGAGGAAGAACAAAATGATCCTGGGAGAGTGTTACCACATTACCCCTCCCCCAATCCAAACTGGAATGCATCATAATGACGAAGTCACAATGCCAGTGTCTCTGTGCCTATGTGTTGTTCTTGCAAGTGGTGAGGTAAGGGCAGGGCAGCGGCTGTCTGACTGGCTCTCCAGTCTCATCCCAGCACTGTAGCCGTATGCTTGCAAGTGTCTCCCACCCTATTTCCATTCTCTGTGGAATTTGCTGAACCTTGGTGTGGGCATAGCTTTACACCTTCCTGTGGACCCTCTCAACCCACTTCTAGCTCATTCCCATTCCTTTGTGTTAGCCAAGGATATCAAGAAACACTTTTTACCTGCAATTTCCACTAACCAAAGCAGACCTAGACTCAGGTAGGAGAATTTCACTTTGTTTCATTTCCTTCATTACAATCTGTCCAGCCTCACCCGATCCTTGTATCAATCTGCTTGCAGGTACAGTACCTCCTACCTCATCTCCATTCACTGGAGATTACAACTATGAATACAGACCCAGGATTCCCTTGGCCTTTTATCTCTGTCTTTCAAGATTATTCTTTGTTTTACTGCAACCTACTTGAAGAAGCTACTCCTATCACACCTTGAACTCCCTAGGAACTCTGATTCTTGGTAGGAACAGAATCTCCTTAGTTCTTTCCTTCAGTCCTTCTCAGACTTTTCTCTGAGCCCATCTCTATTACACTTCACCACCCACAAACATGCAGAGGTGTTCTCTATCAAGCCACACACAGCCACCACACTTTCCTAAGATCCAGAGAGGGCAAAAGAAACCAAGTAATGGCATACCCCACCCAACAAAGACAATACCAGATATCAACACCTAGAATCACCTCAATCATACTCTAGATTCCTAGACAATATCACAGAAACAAAAATATTAACCCCAAGATAATATGTATCCACCAGAATCCAGTAACCCTACTACAGTAGACCCTGAGAAATGCAATATAACTGAAACACAAAGCAAGGATTTCAAAGTATCAATTATGACTATGTTCAAGGACCTTTAAGAGGATATGAATAAATGCCTTAGTAAACTCTGTGAAAACACAATCAGCAGAATGAAATAAAGAAACAGTTCAAAATACAATAATAGAAATAGAATCACTAAAGAAAACCCAATCTGAAGTAAAACTGAAATGAAAAATTTAGGAAGTCAAACAAAAACCTCAGAGATAAGCTTCACCAACAGAGTGCAAAACATGAAAGAGAAAATTTCAGGCATTGAAGAAAGCAGAAGAAATGCATACCTCACTCAAAGAAAATGTTGAGTATAAAAATACACAGGCACAAAAAATCCAGGAAATCTGGGACACTATGAAAAGACCAAATATACAAATTATAGCAATAGAGGAAGGAAAAGAAACCAGGGTCAAAGGCACAGAAAATATTTTCAACAAAATCATAGAAGAAAATTTCCCTAACCTAAAGAAGGATGTACCTAACAAGGTATAAGAAACATACAAAATACCAAATGGACTGGACCTGTCTTACAACACATAATAATCAAACCACTAACTGTACAGAACAAAGAAAGAATAAAATCTTCTAGGGAAATAGACCAAGTAATAGATAAAAGCAGACAGCTTATAATAACACCCAATTTCTCAATGGATACTTTAAAAGCCATAAGGGCCTGGAGAGATGTTCACAAAAATCTAAGAGACCACAGATGCCCATACTACTATGCCTAGCAAAACTATCAATCACAAGAGATGAGAAAGAAAAAAATTTCCTTGATACAGCCAAATTTAAATAGTATGTATTTATAAATCCAGAAGGCACTAGAAGGAAAACCGCAATCTGAAGAGGTTAACCACACCCAAGATAACACAAAGAATAAATGATCCCAGACCAATAAATCAAAAGAAGAGGAAAAACACATACTATAACAACAAAATAACAGGAATAAAGTAGCACTACTCATCGATAACTCTCAATATTAATGGTCTCCATTCCCCAATAAAAACACACAGAATAACAGACTGGATTAGAAAACAGGATCAATCTTTCTGTTACATCCAAGAAACACACCTTACCATCAAGGATAGGTACATATTCAGGTAAAAGGATGGAGAAATGTATTCTAAGCAAATGACCCAAGAATAAAGTAGGTGAAGTTATGTTAATATCCAACAAAATAAACTTTAACCCAAAACTAATTAAAAGATGCAAAGAATGACACTATAAACTCACCAAAGGAAAAATCCACCAAGAGGACTGTGGGAGCCCACAAAAGTTTCCTAGTGAGATCTGAGCTTGCTTTGCCTAGCAGGACTGTATAAGAAGATGATTGGACCATGGGCCTGGCTACCCGGTGTTTGGAAGGGTCTGCACTTGGCTGTAACTAGCAAGGGGGAGGTCTTTTGCCTCACCCTTGGCATTGTTATAAAAAGCCCTTTTGAATAAAGTTCTGGGCTGTTGGGTATTGACCCAGGTCCTCCCAAAGCTATCCTGTGTTTCTGTCTTTCTTCTTCTTGTCTAAGCCTATCATTCTATCTACAAGTTCCTTATTCCTCTCTCCTTCTCATAGGAAACCTTTAAGAAGTGGGAACAGTTCCCCCACAGAGGATGTTGCAATTCTAAACAATTATGCACCAAATGTGCAGGCATATAAGTTCATAAAAGAAAACTACTACAGCTGAAATCACACATTGGCCTTAACATAGTGATAGTGGGTGACTTCAATACCTGAGCCTACTCTTGCCAACAGACCAGTAAATCCAGACAAAAACTGAACAGAGAAATGTTGGACCTAAATGATATCATAAATCTAGCAGATATTTACAGAATATTTCACCCAAACATAAGAGAATATACTTTTTTTCTCAGCAGCTCATGGAAAATTCTCCAAAACTTACTACATACTTGAACACAAAGCAAGTCTCAAAAGATATAAGAAAATTGAAACAACACACTACATCCTAACTTACCACCATAGATTAACTAGATGTCAACAACAATGGAACCTACAGAAAGTTTACAAACTCATGTAAACTGAATAACTCATCACTGAATGAAAGATGGTTCAAGTCAGAAAATTAAGTTAGAAATTAAAAAGTAGTTAGAATTTAATAAAAAGGAAAATACAAGATCTCCAGACCTATAGGACAAAATGAAGGCAGTTCTAAGAGGCAATTTCATAGCTCTAAGTGACTACATAAAAATGAAGGATCTCATATTAGTTACCTAGTGGCATGTATGAGAGCTCTAGAACAGGATGAAATCACACCCAAAAGAGCAGACAGAAAGAAAGAACCAAACACAGAGCTGAAATCAATAAAATAGAAACAAACATCCACCACTACCAACAACAACAAACCAATACAAAGAATAAAAATGAAGAGTCGGTTCTTTGAGAAAATCAATTAAGACTGATAAAGACTTAAATTAACTAAAAGGTGAAAAGAGAATTTCCAAATTAATAAAATTAGAGGTGAAAAGGAGGACTTCACAACAGACACAAAGGAAATCCAGAGAATCATGAGGGCATACTTTAAAAATTTATATCCCACCAAACTGTAAAATATAAAATAAATGGTTAAATTTCTTGATATGTATGACTTACCCAGTTAAATCATGATCAGTGAAGCAACTCAAACATCTCCACAGCCCCAAGTGAAATAGAAGCAGTAATTGAGTCTTCCAACAAAAATCAGCCTAGTACCTAACAGTTTCAGTTCAGAAATCTACCAGACCTTCAAAGAAGAATCAATGCCACTAGTTCTCAAATTATTCCACAAAATAGAAAAAGAAGGAACATTTCTGGATAGCTACCACATACCAAAATTAAATCAAGACCAGATAAACAATTTAAATAGACCTATAACCCCTAAGGAAATAGAAACAGTCAATAAAAATCTCCCAACCAAAAAAAAAAAAGCCCAGGACCAGATGGTTTCAGTGCAGAATTATACCAGAATTCCAAAGGAGAGCTAATACCAATACCCCTCAAATTGTTCCACACAATAGAAATGGAAGGAACATTGCCAAACTCTTTTTATGAAGCTGATATCCAAACCACACAAAGATGCAACTAAGAAAAAGAATTACAGACCAATTGCAACATGATGCAAAAATACTCAATAAAATACTGGCAAACCAAATCCAAAAACACATCAAAAAGATCATCCACCATCATCAAGTAGGCTTCAACCCAGAGATGCAGGGATGGTTCAACATATGAATATCTGCCAATATAATCCACCATATAAACAAACAGAAAGGAAAAAAAAAACACATGAACATCTCATTAGATGCTGAAAAGGCCTTCGACAAAATCCAACACCCCTTCATGATAAAGGTCTTGGAGAGATCGAGGATACAAGGAACATACTTCAACATAATAAAGGCAATATACAACAAGCCAATAACCAACATCAAACTAAATGGAAAGAAACTCAAAATGGTTCCACTAAAATCAGGAACAAGACAAGGCTGTCCACTCTCTCCATATCTATTGAATATAGTACTCGAAATTCTAGCTAGAGCAGTAAGACAAGAAAAGGAGATTGTAGCTTAAGTTTTCCTGCCTGGCCCACAGTCAGAACAAATCTCTCTCACCTGCCAGTCCCACAGCCTCTCAAACCCGACCAAGTAAACACAGAGACTTATATTGGTTTCAAACTGTATGGCCGTGGCAGGCTTCTTGCTAACTGTTCTTACAGCT